CTCTCCTTTCCCTTCTCTCTAAAAATCAGTAAAAAACATTTTAAAAATATCCATCACTATATTGCATTGACTTCTTCCTGATGGGATTCCCATATATAATTGCTCATTGATTCCTTTTCATTTTTTTATCAAGGAGATATCTCTTGAATCAGTTCTTTGTTCACTGCTGCTACCTTGTTCACATACACAGCTCAGACTTATCTAAATATATGTACATAGGTGGTAATTGTTTCTAATTATAATTTTGATATACACTGGCTGTAAGAAAATTCCTTACAGATCTGGGTAGTGAAAGTTCTCCAACCCCAACTTCTAAAGATAAGCACCATTAACAGTATAGTATACATTCCTTGATTTTTTTTCTATGTATATAGTAGCATATTATGTCTTTAAAATTTTTTTAATTGATTTTTAGAGAGGATGGGGGAGAGAGAGAGAGAGAGAGAAAGAAACACATCGATATGAATTGGCTGCTCCCGATCTCGGGATTTGACCAGAAATCTAACCCACCACCTTCTATTACACTGGATGAGTCCCAACCAACTAAACCACACCAGCCAGTTACTATGTCTTTTAAATGGAATCACATCATCTTGAAACTTGCTTTATTTCCTATATCAACACACACAGAGCTACCTTGTGTTTTTTAAATTAGTTTAAACATACACATTTTATACAAAATTCAATAGCCACAAAAGGGTATTTTATGAAAAACAAGCCTCCCTTCAGCCACCCATCCGTTTCTTGGGTAGCCTTCTGGGGCCTTGTTTCTTTTAATAGCAACATAGCCTCCCATTGTATGGATGTTCCAAATCCATAAACCAACTTACTTTGGTGTTTCAACAGATTGTTTGCAATGCTATTACCTACTAGACTAGAATCTACATTCCATGTCAATCTTATCAATTACTTATCACTCTAATTTTTTTTAGCAACATGGTGCCCCACATTGCACAGATGCACCATAATTCATTTATCAATTTCCCTACTGATGAGAATTTAGGCTTAAACACTAAGCATTTGCCCTGCTCATAGGACTTGTGCTGTTAAGCACTTCTGCGATTTGGCGGGCCATCTAGTTTATGTACCGAGCTATGAGCTAGCTCCTCGAAGTCAGAGGAGAGTGTTCACATTCATCCTGGTCCTCACTGCCTAGCCCCGAGCTTGGCCGGGAGCATACGCTCACGACGCTGGAGTGCAATAGTCATACCGCCCGCACAGGCACCGGTTCTGCCACGGAGAGACGGAACGAAAGGAAAGCCGAGCCTTTTGAATTGTCCCAGACTGAGGGGCCGGAACTTTGGTTGGGAGGATCGTTGTTTCTCAGGGACGATTCTAGCGTCAATGTGTACCCCGCACAAACATGGTTGCTACGCACCGGAAGTACCGGTTATTTTGCTGGAATCGGTTCTTCCGCGGGGCGGAAGAGGTATGTCTGCCTGTTCCCAGATCATTTCCAGCCCCCTTTCCTAGCAGGAACCCATGAGTAAGCTGTGGCGGCGCGGGAGCACCTCTGGGGCTATGGAGGCCCCTGAGCCAGGTAAGCGCGGGTCGATAAAGCAACTTAGGAGTTCCTTCGCAGAAAAGGAGTTCCTTTCTCGCTTCTCGGAGCTTTCAAGGTACTTGGCCACAGGTGGGAGGAGAAAGGCGGGGCTGTTGCTATGGTAACAGCGAGTACCGCGGGAAGAGTGGGAGCCCTTAGGGAAACTGGGTTCTTCGGGGCTCTCACTACCCGACTCCTGCCTTACACCGATGACAGGCTCTCCTTCCGCAGGGGAGGCGCTGGAGTTGAGTCTGGCGGGTGCCCACGGCCACGGAGTGCACAAGAAAAAGCACAAGAAGCACAAGAAGAAACACAAGAAAAAACACCATCAGGAAGAGGAAGCTGGGCCCACGCAGCCGTCTCCTGCCAAGCCCCAGCTCAAACTCAAAATCAAGCTGGGTGGGCAGGTCCTGGGCACCAAGAGGTGAGGCCAAGGGCACCCAGACTTTACTTGGGGAACTTTAGAAGGAGGCAACGAAAAGAGAGGCTGGCTGGGCTTTCCAGAAGATAGAGTGGACACGGTGACTTGGGGGCCCAGGAAGAACCTAGAGGGTGTGGGGACAGCTGGAGGTAGCTACCGAGCGGAAGGAAGATGCTGGCCCCGCTTACAGAGTGGTGTTGCTTCTCTGCAGTGTTCCTACCTTCACTGTGATCCCTGAGGGGCCCCGGTCCCCCTCTCCCCTTATGGTTGTGGACAATGAAGAGGAACCAATGGAAGGAGTCCCCCTTGAGCAGTACCGTGCCTGGCTGGGTGAGAAGGAGCTGGAGGTGGGGAAACAGGGTTCCTCATTATACCTGATGAAAGGGAGGTTACTTCTGAGGAGGGAGGGAATTTTGAGTGTTCCAGTACTAACTTGGCCACATTCGGGTGCTCCACCTGAACAATTCTACTTTTATCTCTCCAGATGAAGATAGTAATTTGTCCCCCTCCCCACTTCGAGATTTGTCGGGGGACTTAGGGGGTCAGGAGGAAGAGGAGGAACAGAGGTGGCTGGATGCCCTGGAGAAGGGGGAGCTAGATGACAATGGAGATCTCAAGAAGGAGATCAATGAACGGCTGCTCACTGCTCGACAGGTAAATTGGTTCATTCTTCATTCAGTTACCAGATATTTAGAGAGGACCTTCCATGTCCCAAGAACTTTGCTGGGCATTGGGCAATCACTGATGGAGAAAAGACACTTTACTGTTCTCATGGAGCTGGTATTCATGTGTGTGTAGGTAAATAAGGAAATAATTTTGAAAAGCAGTTTATAAAAAAAATAGGGTGATGAAACAAAGTGGTAGGAAAGAAACATTAGATAGGGAGGGAAGACCTCTTTGAAGAGCTAACATTTCCAGGACCAGAGGAGCTTTGGTCTGGCATTGAGCACTTGTCTAATTGATGCTTCAATGAGATAAAGATTTAACAACAAACAGAAGTCCTCAGAAATATGGTGCAGAGAATTTGGTACACAAGGCAGGCAGGTAACATTACTGATACTTTTCCCCTTGAGAGTCAAGGACCTAAAGCTGAAAGTCTGGAGACCCGGGGGGAGGAGGCAGTAAAGGGCTCCTGGAAAGGGCACTCATCCCACCCTCCTCCCAAGGCCTGCGCTCCTTGTGACCCTTGCTTTCCACGTGCCCTCCTGGCCTTTCCTGCAGACCTCGCTTCTCCATTTTCTGATTTTCTGACACCACCTGTCTCTCCCCAGCGAGCTATGCTCCAGAAGGCGCAGAGTCAGCCTTCCCCGATGCTGCCGCTGCCTGTGGCTGGGGGCTGCCCGGCCCCCGCCCTCACCGAGGAGATGCTACTGAAGCGCGAGGAGCGGGCTCGAAAGAGGCGGCTCAAGACGGCAGCGCCCAGCGGGCGTGGGGGCCGAGGGGCCGCGAGGGGGGAGCGGCGGGGAGGGCGGACCGCGGCCCCGGCCCCCATGGTGCGCTACAGCAGCGGGGCACAGGGTTCCACCCTTTCCTTCCCACCTGGCGTCCCCACCCCCGCACCAGTGTCTCAGCGGCCACCCCCGCCTGGCCCTCCTCCACGGTGTTCGGTCCCTGGGTGTCCGCACCCGCGCCGCTACGCCTGCTCCCGCACGGGCCAGGCACTCTGCAGCCTGCAGTGCTACCGCATCAACCTGCAGATGCGCCTGGGGAGACCCGAAGGCCCCGGGTCCCCCCTTTTGGCTACTTAAGGCCCGTAACCAGGACTCTGTACCCTCCCCCCTGCCCGATTCAGTGTCTTCCTTATTAAATGTTATCCGGTGCCTCGACTTGTACCGAGTTTACAGAATTGAGTGTATGGGGTATGGGAAGCCAATTCCCTGTCCACACATATCGCCCCCATCAGAGCTGCGCTCACGCCTCGGAAACGTCCGTCAAGCCCGGGCACAGGAAGGCTGGCCGCTGGCGCTCAGACTCCGCCGACTTTGGGGACTCCCACCTCTTCCAGCGGGATTACCTGGAGTGATCGGGCATTTGGCGTCATTCCAGGAAACAGGCCTCAAGCCAATCAGAGGGGAGCTTGCTCTCCTGGGCGGCCGTTCATTGGTTGACAACTTGAAGCCTGTTCTGTTGTCCACGTTGGCTATTGTCGCTGTCAGTCAGGGCCGTGGGTCGAACCTTACCCCACTCTTTGTCTGGGAGAGCGCTTGTTGTCTGGGAGAGTGGTAGGGGCGCTGCTGTGGATTGGTCACCAGCAAAAGCCTCCGATCCGATCCTATTGGCCCGTTCGCCGGAGGGCGATGCTGATTGGTAGGACGGAGCAACCTGGCTCCTAGTTGGCAGAGCTCTCCCCGGATGGGAGCTCCGGCCGCGGAGTGATGGTGGCGGCAGCGGAGATGGGCCGGGCAGGGACCATGGCGGTGGCGGCAGAGGTGGCAGGGGCGGGGCGGCTGGCAGTAGAGGAGGCTGTAGTCTTCAGGGGGCTGTAGGTGGAGGCATGGCTCGGGCCAGCAGCGGGAACGGCAGCGAGGAGGCCTGGGGGGCACTTCGGGTGCCGCAACAGCAGGTATCCCATCAGCTCCAAAAGCATATCCCGATAGCCATCTATTTCCTTTTCCCCTTTTCAGTCCCTTTCTTTTGGGGGGGTTGGGTAGAAACTCACGGAGCCAAAGGTATTGTGAAGTTCCTAAATATGTCCCTTTCATTCTTTGTTTAAACTTCGTAATGTAGATGCAGTTGACTTTGCCTGCAGCCTCACAGACCCATCCCATGGCTGCAATGGGAGCTTACAGTGACTCTCCAGTGACCAGAGGCATATTGAGGCCCCAGGGAGGCTCCCTGTCTTGCAACAGTTATTTGTGTTGTTTTTCTGTGTGCCTATTGTCACAACAGAGCCCAATAGCGTCTTCTCTTGAGGGAGCAATTTGGAGAAGAGCTGGAACCCAGACTCGCGCCCTGGATGCCATCCTTTATCATCCACAGCAATCCTACCTAGTTGGGGAGCACTGCTCTGGGTCTCACACTGTCCCTCCTCTATCCTAGGAAACTGAGACTCAGGGGTGGAAAGGTCCACCTTGGGGATGGGGAATGGCAGACCGTGGGGGATGATGAGCATTTTAGCGTTGGAAATTACTTTAAACCCTTTACCCATTGTCTGAGATTTTGAGATTGCTCTATCTTTTGGCTTCTGCCCAAACACCCTGTTAACAGAAAATGCCCTGGGGCCAGTCTATATGCAGAGCTGAAATCTGCCTCTGTGTTCACATCTTCATCTTGTTCTCCAGGCTGATTTTTTTTGCTATTCCAAATCCTCTTCCATGTTGACAGCCCTTCAGACATTTGAACAGTCCTCTCAGCATCACTCTTGCCTCCTCATAGATCTGTGCTCCACAGGGTGGGCTTGTGGATGTGCATGCAGGGGCTGGGTGTGGGGGTGAACAGTGCCTTGGGCTGGAATCTCCCTTGGTGCCAAGTGCCTCCTTGCTCCCAGCTTCGAGAGGTTTGCCCAGGAGTGAACAACCAGCCCTACCTCTGTGAGAGTGGCCACTGCTGCGGGGAGACTGGCTGCTGCACCTACTACTATGAGCTCTGGTGTGAGTCTCTGTGGGGGCTGTTCTCGGGTCCTTCTGCCCACCCTCCCTTGGACCTCAGAATTCTAGCCTTCAAGGACCCTTCTTTGCATGGAAGGTATCTGAGACTCTTCCTCTTCACCCCCCTGCAGGGTTCTGGCTGCTCTGGACTGTCCTCATCCTCTTTAGCTGCTGTTGCGCCTTCCGTCATCGACGAGCTAAACTCCGGCTGCAGCAACAGCAGCGGCAGCGTGAGATCAACTTGTTGGCCTACCACGGGGCATGCCATGGAGCTGGCCCTGTTCCTACCAGTTCACTGCTTGACCTTCGTGAGTGACTTGAGGCTCTAGGCTCACTACCAGTGGCTCCTCCCCAATGAGGACCCTGAATCATCCCCACATTTTGTTTTCAGACATTTCAAAACACACTTTTCCCTAACAGTAAAGAGACCACCACCTCACCCCTGGTTGCCTTCAACCAACTATGCCATTCTTTCCTGCAGGCCTCCTCAGCGCCTTCAAACCCCCAGCCTATGAGGATGTGGTTCACCGCCCGGGCACACCACCACCTCCTTACACTGCGGTCCCAGGCTGCCCCTTGACTGCTTCCAGGGAATGTACCTGCTGCTCCTCCACTTCTAGCTGCCCTGCCCACTTCGAGGGAACAAATGTGGAAGGTGTTTCCTCCCACCAGAGTGCCCCCCCTCATCAGGAGGGTGAGCCTGGGGCAGGGGTGAGCCCTGCCCCCACACCCCCCTCTTGCCGCTATCGCCGCCTGACTGGTGACTCTGGCATCGAGCTGTGCCCTTGTCCTGACTCCAGTGAGGGTGAGCCAGTCAAGGAGGCTAAGGCTAGTGCTATTCAGCCAGATCTGGGGGACTGTCCCCCGTGTACACTGTCCCTAGACCCCATACCGCAAGTTTCTTCTATGGGGCTGGCTACCAGTGAAGGGGGCATCCCATAAGCAGTTTTAGGAGGATGGGTTGGTTGCTTGCCCACTAAAAACAGCCCTGGTTCCAACTCCTGGAGTTCTCAGCCTCTCCCTGCCTTCCTAGAATCTGCCTGAAAGGGCTGGAGTCCTGGGACAGGGGCCATGTTTGGGGGACTGTGCTAGCTCTACCCCCAGTGACATACACAGGAGCCTTTGATCTCATTAAAGAGATGTGAACCAGCTGCTTGTGGACTTGGGTGGTCTAGTGCTCAACTCACTTCATTGTACCTGAATGGACTTGGAGGGGACAGGTAATGGCCACCTTTCCTAGCTTCCCTGAAGGATAGGAGGCAGCCCTAAGGCCTGGACTGAGCTAAGACCTCTTGGTCAGGCAAAGCTGGCAAATACAATAATTTGGCATGGTTTTCCAATTTATTTAGAAAAATAGACTCTGAATTCACATTCACCCCTGGGTTGTATGGGATGATAATGAGACACCTGAGATGAGGGTTTGGAGCACTGGTATCTGAGGGTTGGGGGAAGTTAGAAACTTAGTCCCTCTAGTCCAGAGTGGTACAGGGACCTCACTCCCCTCCCACACTCTCCCTTTAGTAGTCTTCAGCCATGGCCAGTAGAACAAGGCTGGTCCAACCCTGGAAAGGGCGACAGCCCATGCCCCGCCCATCCCGGTCACTGTACTGCTCCCACAGGAAACCTGTGGCCTGATACTGCCTCAACACATTGCCCACCACATTGGCACGGAGCTCACTGTGGAGCTTGGCAGCACGGGCTTGGTGAGGACCCTTGAGATGCCCATAGTGGTGGAGTGCCCCTAAGGCCAGGTAGTTGACATTGAGCCACACAGCTCCTCGCCAGTAGGGAGGATCATGCTCTGAATTGCGCTGGCCATAAAAGGGGCTGGAGGCTGCAAGGGAGCGTAAACCAAAGGGGCTCCAGAGATGGCGACTGTCAGCTAGAACATCCAGCAGTGGCCCAAGGCGGGATGAGTGGGGGTCCAGCAGCCGCAGCAACAAGGGGAAAAGACTGACATAGCCCAAGGCATCCACATACTGCAAGCGAGGGTGGGGCCGGCCCACCACCCGAACCAGCCCATGAGGGGGACGAGGCTTCAGATGCACTGCTTTTGTGTGGTTCCCAAAGTCTGCAAAAATGCCTAGCTCTGGGGCCCAATGTAACTCATCCAGGATCTCCTCTGCTCCCAGTGAGGCAGCCAGCGGGCCCAGCTCTGCAACTGCCTCAGCCTCTCCCAGCTGCTCTGCTAGCTGCACCAGCACACGGGCACCCAGTGCCACCCAGCACCGCAGGTCCAGGTGCCGTTCAGTGGCTGAAGGGTGCGAAGCACGGGGATAATCATCCAGCCCTGAAGGCAGTGTCTTGGGATTCAATAGGGTGGGCAAGGCCGAGTCCCGACCCCGCCAGCGGTATGACAGTGGCACTGGCCCTGCCTGGCTCTGATGAAGCCAGGAGAACCAGGCATGCAGGCGGGGGAAGGCCCTGCGGAGGAAGGCTAAGTCGGCAGGATCGTGACCCTCTAGCATGTGGGCTACAGGCAAAAGCAGGGTTGGGGGGTTGGCATGGGCTGCCCGTTGCACCAGGAATTCTGAGGGTACCCGGACTCGGGCCTCATCCCCCAGCACCTGCTCCCGCCCAATCCACCCATCAGCATTGAGTAGCCCCAGCCAGTGGCCTAGGGCCTCCCGGGTGAGGCGGGGATCCCATCGCTGGACCAGTAGCTGGTGAAAGCCCTCATCCCAAAGAAAACCTCGTGGGAAGAATGACCGGGAGGGCACTGCTGTGAAAAGAGGGACAGGTGGGAAGAGGGCCGGGGCCACCTTCTGCTCAGATCCCTCCACCTTCATGTCTGGCAACACAAGACCCTGCCCATAGAAGTAGCCAATCCCACCAAGGAGACCGCTGAGGGCAGCCTGACCCAAAGCTTGCTCCTCAGGGCTCAAGCCCTTCTTCTGTAACTGGAAGGTCTTCTCAAAGCGCTCTCTAAAGGCTTCAGCATGGCTCTCCAGGGCCTGGGTCAGCAGGCTGCCTGCCAGCTGCCCCAGGGCTTGGTTTCCTCCCGCCTGGGCACTGCCAGATTCAAACACCAGCTCCACAGAAAAGGGGACTTTCACTGTCACCTGTTGTATCAGGAACTGCCCTTGTCCCTGTCCTTGCCCACTCGGGCCTCTGTCCTCCCACTTCAGAGATCCTGGCAAGCCAAGGTAGCGTTCAGGGGAAGCCCCTGGGGGCCGATGCTGAAACCAGCTATTTAGGCGACTCTTCACTGTCTCTGTCAGCAAGGGAAGTCCTGGGTT